CATCATCATCATCATCATCATCATCATCATCATCATTACCACCAGCACCATCATCATCGAATAACATCAAACATCAATTCCACATCACGCTCAATGTATCATAATGCACTACTGGGTATTTAACCCTTTTTTTTGCTTATTTGTTTGTACGTAAACAATCACGTCACCGTCACTGAATGGCAGCATCAAAAAATTAGCGCGAACGTCAAGAATAAACGGTTTAATGCTCATGAAACACAAAATCATTTCAATCGGATAATTTAATCAAAACGGTTTGAAACCCATTCTTCAATTCGATTTCATTTCGGAAAAATCTTACGTTCTATCATTAATTACTGCATTTGAGCAGGCAGGTGGTTTTGTACATTGACCACACCACTAATTGTTTTTGCTTAATATTTTATACAACTGCTTATTATCCAAACTTCAACAAGTAGTTTAAAGGAAATCCCGAAAGGTGGGGAAATCTGATCGTAGCTGATAACATATCCAAACTGTAACCTTCATGAATTTTATTTCAACAGCAAATTATTAGACAATTAAAATCATCCATTAGGACGAATATTTTTGAATATCGTACTGCCCTTCCCTTCTTCTTACTTCAAAATACATCCTAACAATTTTTCTCCTTTCATGTGTAATTATTACAAATCATCTGAACAGATCTGATTAAATGATAAATTGATGAAAACTATAAATTTAAAAGAAAAAATTACATCTTTTTCGAAAGTGAAATAAATTTCTATATATTTCATTTATGAAAATACTTTTTTCAATTCCACCTATGTGTGCAACATAGACGAAAAAACAAACGTAAAAATGGGATCATAATTTTACGGAAGCGTAAGATTGATAGATTCAAATGTATCGACAAGTTTTACTAATCATCAAATAGCTTATGTAAAGCGTACTTAATGAATTCTCTCATTAATTTTCTTTTTTTCGTCATTATAAAAAAGACAATGAAATGCTGACAGCAAAAAGAGTTACAGAATTACTGGTTAGGAGGCTAAAAAATTAAAATAGAATTATAGAAACAAGAAAAAAAGAACTTAATTCGAGGTCAAAAATTCGCAGTCATACAAAAATAATAATAACTTCTCATTTGCGTAATTTTTTGACAAACGATGTAAAATAAATTGGCAAGCGAATCGGCCATTGGCGAATGTTTTTAACTTTAACTGCTGCCGAAAGTGTGGCTAATTTAGCCGGAAGAAATTGAAAAAATTATTTGAAGCACGACCACAAAGACAATTAGCACTGAATTTTCCAATGAATATAGCAGAAATGATTTCAGACTATTAATTTGTAGTTGAAATCTAAAAATTTAATAGTTTGGTGATTTTTAAAATTTATTAAATTTCAACACTAATAATTAAATTTAGTTTGATGCACCGAAAATAATTTTATTGGAGACAATTTATCACAAATTGATTAAGCTAATAAAATATGTGGAAAGCCAATGCTTTTATGGGCTTACATCTATTTTACTTCACTTTTATTTAAAAAAATAAATTGATTGTAATAAAAAATGATGAGCCAGATTGAAATAAAAGTAATTTTTTTCGGATTACAGAATTCCAATTAAATTGATTCTTCAGTTTGCAATACAAAAATAACTCATCTAGTTATTACTTTTGAAATATTGTTTTGAGTTTGAAATGATTTCGATTTTTTGTTAACAAGTCAAAGCGATTAATGATATTTTCGTAAATGTTGAAAACACGACATCATTTTCCAATCAATCCGACTATTATTAAGTGTAAACAAAGGGAGACTATTTTCATAGCTAAATGAGTTTAAATCAATTTTATTTACCCATTGAAAATTGCATAACAACATCTCCATGTATCGGTCCGACAAGCCCTTCCTGAAAGGGATGATTCCATTTTAGTTAAAATGCTAACAGGCTGAAATTCAGGTAACGCCTGTTTAATTAATTATGCAAGTCAAATATAAGATTAAGTGATTCGTTATACGGATAAGAAAAATTACAATTATTGCTGAATTAAATCCACGAAACGCAACAACACCATTTAATTTGAATTTCAATTTTAGAATTGTAATTTTGATTACTAACAATAATTATGCTTCTATACTTTGAAAGTCATTGCTAATTATGTTAATATTAATGATAATTTGTACATAATTTGCATCATTCAATGTAAATTCGAATGAAAATTTTAGCTCATACACAACAGCTGATTAATTAATGCAATTAATTAAGAATGGAAGAGGATTCATTTCGTAAATAAGAAGAAATTCAATTCTTGTTTTAGTGAAATTGCAGAAATAGAAATGAATAAATAAAAATGAATGAAAAAGTAAAGATTGAAAAAAGGCGTAATTAAATAAGTTGAAATGATGAATAATCTTAAAGAGAGTGTGACCATTTTGAAGAAGATTGGCAGTGACAAAATCATTTGTCAATAATTCAATTACAATTTGCTTTTCAATCAAGAGAAGGAGAGAGAGAGAGAGAGAAAGGGAAAAAGTTTTAGGATCAGGAAGAGTAGAACATGAAATTACACTTTCAGTAAGCTAACATCGTCATTGTCCACATTTCAAATTATTATCCTGAAGTGTTCACTATCAACAAAATGCCTACTTTATTACTGCTCACTTACGCTTATGTTTTCTTGCTTCTCATCTTCACATCACTGTCATTAGCCGGTTGTCCATTAAATTGCACATGCTTAAATAAATCCGTCATATGCTCGTAAGTGATATCTTTTTTTTGAAATGAAACAAAAGAAAAAAATCCATAATTTTAAATTATTTTTACAAAAGAGTGGTGCAGTAATAATTTTATTTTAATTCATAAACAACGGGAAAAAATTTCCAAAGCTTCTCATTTTCATATTTAAATTGAAACAAGCAAATTTTAATTTATCGTCAACATCATCAGATCTTTTCCCTGAAAATTATGTATTGGAAATTAAAAACTTTCTGAGAATTGAGGAGAAGACAAAAATAGATAAATTAAATGGGATGTGACCATTCCGTTCATTGCGTACCATTCCGTATGATCACTGCCAAAACGAATAGCCATATGGCTTTTTTAAATAAATTGAAAATCTTAAATATTATAAGCAATCGATCTTACCCGGTAATGTTTCCTGGAGATTGTAGAAGCTTCTTTGATTTTTACTATTGGGTAATGTATAGTTCCATATTATAAATATTTGCTATATTAAAGGGGGATTGCTCGGAAGATCAGTAGATTCGATTTCTAAACCTTTAAGAATAAGAGATAATTTTGTTTGGCAGGAAATTCATATACTTTTTTCCGTACATTTTCATAAAAGAATTATTTGAGTAAATAAGTATTAAAGTTTACAATATTATAATTTCCTAAAGCAGCCAAAAATGACTATACAGAAAAGGTTTACAGAGATTTTTTACTTTCTTCCATTCTGTATGAAATAATTGGAATAAAAGAGCTAAGGAAATAAATTTCCTGTTTCTACTATTATAGTTATCCTCCATGTTATTTGTAATAAATTTAGGAAAATAATTAGGATAGAAATCGGATACGGTACTGCGGGATATCAGATTCTATATTATGTACTTTTGGCACTTCAGGATATAAAATTTATACTTCTAAGCACTAGACAAAGTTATGTCAAAAATATTTGAAGACAAAAATTCTTTTGAAAAATGAGAAATATTTTATCGAGAAGCATGATATTATCAAATAATCAAACATTCTCGAGGAATTGGTAATTTTATTCATTGCAACAATATTTTATGATCGTTGCTGTTTTTTACTTTTTTTCCAAAAGCGAATAGTGTTTGGCAATGGAACAGAAAGGAGAAAAACTCATTAGGATGTGAAATTGGGCGATGAATGCCTCTTGGATTTAAAAGCTTCCTTTTCAATTCGATTTCTGTCTATAATTCGCATTTGAATTTTCATTCATTTAAAATTTCTAACGAAATCATAGTTGGCTTTTATATAATAAGTAAAGCATCAAAAAATTACCATAACACAGTTACTGAGATATTTGATTTGTTTTAAGATGAATAAAAATGAAATTTTAATCACATTTTAACAGATTGTTTGATATGCTTTCAAATGTATACTTAAAAATTAAAAAGTAAAAGGCCTTGGTTTTGCTTTATGTTAATCAGAAAGAGTTGTAATAAAATTACGGAAAGTTCTTGAATTTACATAAAAACACATAAAAAATGAAGATTAACATAAATTTTAAAATGTAATAAGTAAATTTTATTAAGCTAGAAAACTTACTGAATGCAAAAGGAATGATTTTCAATTTATTTTGCAAATTCTCAAAGATAATCAAATTGCAGATGTGAGGATGCATTTGGCGGAATGCATTCCAATCAACTTCATCTATTACATTTCGGTGAAATACAATTTATCGAATCATTGGTGATACATTCATGTGATCAAGTGATAATATCAAATGATACCTTTAATAATACTGTTATTCAGTATGCAATTAAGGTATGAAACTTCGTCTATGCAAATATTCGTAATTTTATTACAAATATACAAAAGGAAATGTGAATGATCCTTTCATTCAAATTTCCATGATATTTCAGCTAAAGAAATGATTATTATATTTTGAGTTGCCAATTTCTTTGATATATTCCAAGCGCATTTATTTTTTTGCAATAAAGTTATGATCTTTGCCATAGAAATATATTAATAAAAAAATTAATTGCTGTATATTAATAAAAAGAAGAGTGAGTGAGGGAGGAGACATGTGAGGACATGAGAAGGGCAGTAGAAAATCAGCAGCCAAGAAAAAATATGGCCTCACACTTGGCTATGATTACATTTCAGTTTCATCTGACAAAAAGGATTTGATGCAAATCAAATTTTCAGATTATTGGTGTGAAGAATTTAAAAATACTTTCATGGGCTTTTCGTGGAATTCGGAAATCACCTGAACAATTATTCGTACAAGCAACAACTATTACTTATGTTCCACCAAATTCATTTTCAGAATTGACCCATATTAAGCATATTTGGTTCCGGAATAGTACCATCGAGTTGTTGGCTACTGGAGCTTTCAGCGGTCTTACGGATGTTAATTACATATATTTCCGTGATTGCCTTATACGGCATATTGAAAATGGCGCTTTTGGTAGGTAAAAAAGTTATTCATGATTATGATAACTGCTAATGATAAGATGATATGATGATAATTATTATCATATCAATAAAGTAGATATTAACCATTGTGACCAATTCCATTCTTGCTTTCATCCAGTGTTTTGGAGAGTAGATTTCAGGAAATTTTAAAAATCTAAATTAAAAAAAGACTTTCAGCCATAGTTGCACGTAAAGAAAAAATTCAATAAATTTAGAGAAAAATGGAGATACAAATGCACTGTATGAAAAGAATAAAAAAATTTAAGTTCGCAAAAAATCGGTAAAAAATGAAAGAGAGATTGTGGGACGGCTTTAATTTTCGCAAAATTAATTTGCGATAAGAATATTATTTCGTTTTTGTCGTATTTTGCACGATATTATAGCCAAAAGTAATAATTATAGGTTCAATGCGTCGAATTCAACACTTTTTTGTACGTGGAAATATTACGATAAAATTAATTGGAAGTGCTATATTTCGGAATTCAACGATAGGTGACGTAATCTTTGAAGATGCACATTTTAACGCTCCATCTGATTGGTTTGTTGGCTTAAAAGCTGCAAATATTCAGCTGATTAATTCCATCTGGAATTTAAATAAAGATTCCAGTAAATTTCAGAATTTTCGCCAAAAAATTGGTCATTTCTCAATCAATAATTCTACAATCGATCTAATAGCTCTAAAAGCATTTCGTAATGCGAAAATGTTGACTATTTCAAATAGCATGCTGAAAAAGATAACGGCATTGAAATTGTTGGACATAAACGCTGGTAGAGAAGCGGAATGGATTACAGGAACAAAAAAGAGTATGGAATCAGTAACTGAAAAATTGGAAATTGTAGGAACAACAATCAATAGAATTGCTACTAAAGCTTTCGTAAATTTGGGAAAATTTAAAAATTTGAAAATTTTTCGATGCCGAATAGATGTGATCGAGAAAAATGCTTTTCAAGGATTTCAATCAAATGAAATTCGTATCGATCAAACGCAAATTGATATATTATCTATAGCATCTTTTGCTGCATTGTCGGTGAATTTATTTTCCTGGCATGCATGTAATCTTACCTTCATAAGCAGTATGGCTTTTCAAGGGGCTAAAGTTCAAACGCTTCGTTTTTCTCGCTGTCACATAAAAAATATTATGAAGCGAACTTTTGATGAACTGGAAGTTGACAATTTGATTTTATTGAAAACAAAAATCTATCGGTGCGAAGAACAGTCATTTTCAGGAGCAAAGGTGGAAAATTTATTTACATCCTCATTATTTTCCAAAAAATTAATTTTTGATTCTAATGGTTAAATTCGAAATTTGTATTCCAAATTCGCAAAACTCATATAAAATCTTTTATTATTTTGCGGCATCATATTTATGAAATATTATACTTTAGTTTGAAAAAGTAATGGCTTTCTTAGTGCAATTTTCATATGGTTTAGAATTGTTTTTAACAATTATTAATTTCAGACTTCAGCACTTAATATTTCTCATTTTTAATTTTAATGATACAGTTTGATTGTTAGATCTCAACAAAATCCTTAAAAATTTTCAGATATTCAAATAAAAAAGCATTCATTACAGGTCAAGAAATTAGTTATTACCGGAACAAAAATAATGTCCGGCACAATCGACAGTATTTTTCGAGATTTTCGACCAATTTATTTCCATGCTCGAAAGAATTTATTTGATTGCAATGCGATGCAGTGCGATACGAACAGTTTACTTCTTGACGAAAATGTATCCTTGAACTTGCCCTGGTATTTCCAAGGTAATCAATGCTTAAAACAAGAAATTTGTCGTCAACCACCGGAATGGACCTCTGGCGGCGTCTTTTGTAAATCGTATCATTTTCTTGCCAAATGCTTTTGTGCAAATTCAAAATTCGCACACGTTCCAGATATTAATTCATCGATTTTAATCATCGCTGACTGCAAAACGTTAGATATTGACTTAGCTAAAAATGACAAAATCTCATCACTTCATGTTTTCCGAACAGATGCTCTGGGAATTACAAAAATACCCGTTAATTTGCAAATTTTTGAAATTTTTCACACAAAAATTGTAAAAATCGAACGAAAGGCTTTTCTGGGCCTTAGAATGGAAAAAATTGAATTAATTTCAACGCAAATTGAATTAATAGCAAGTGAAAGTTTCGTCAACTTTCAACTTTCCTCCTTTATTCTCAGACGTAGTACCGTCAATTACGTGCAATTTCACGCCTTCAGCAATAGCTCTGTGAAGATGCTGAATGTGGAAAAATCTAATTTTCTACATGTATTTGATTTTTGGAAATATTTTAATAATACAACACTGATGGGAGTATTCGTAAATTTGCCTGGATACCTTCTTGAAGGAGCTCGAAATTTATGCCTGAAGGAAGTTACGGTTGGTTGTGAGTGCCTAACACAACAATTAGGTAATCGAAATAATTGCGGTAAAATAGCACCTATTTGTAATTCAACAAAATATGAAATAAATTGTTTAATGGAAGAAAAAATAACAAATAGATCAGTCATAAAACAATTTGAGATACTATTAATATTTTTGCTTTACTTGTCAAATTTATATTTAAGATTAAATTTATGTCAAATATAAAAGTTAAAACTACGTTGATTTCATAAAATACACAACAAACAAAGAAATTGGGCCATCTGCTAAATTAATTTGTTATGCATCGTAAATTATTATCATATCTATCGCTTTCTGAAAAAATAATTTTTCAAGAAAGTACAGAAATTTCAATTTTTGCAATCTTCGCATTTGCTCATTTACTGGTAAATAAATTTTTGACTTTACACAACAATTTCCAACCATTTGCTTACTCATTCCGATCATGAATTCCATAACTTTTAACCATGACAAGTATTGCTGGAAAACATTGTTGATATGAATGTTGAAAACACAATAAATAAAGTTCATCACCGTTATGATAATGGATTGCTGCACATGTATGTTAATATAATTTGAAAGAAAAAAAAACAGGAATTTCAATAAAGAAAAAAGTCAGTCTTTTCAAGCTTTCCAAAGAAATTCTCTAATTTGTTTGCTTTCTAATTGAAAAAACAAAAGAACCTGTTGACCGAAAATAGAAAAACCTCGCTTTTTAAGAGATGTTTTTCCATTTCAGTCCGTTAAATAAACTAACAGCACGTTGGTTCGATGTCATAAATTATGCATTTGTTCCTCCTTCATCGGACTACAACCTAACATAAACTTTTCGAGATTAATTTCTTGGAATTTCATTAAATATTCCCCCTCACGAAATTATCCAAAATTAGTTCATTATATTTCATTCTGTTCGTTATTTGCAAATCCTAATCGGTTTAGTTGAAAAATACATCATACGTTGGTAATAATTTTTTTTCATATAATTAATACGTCAAATATATAATATATATCTAATGATAATAATATATATCTAACGGTAATTGGATGAGAAAAATTGAATAAGAAATGAATATAATATTCATACTAAGAAGCAAATTTTCCAAATAAATTAAAAAAAATTTTTTTTTGATTTTTTACAAAAAAACGTAAATTTGCACTATGTGTGTGTTTTTTTCCATTTCTTATGTGAATTAGCAAATTAACAGTAATTGAAAAGTTAAATATGACAGAGCTTTTTTCATCAAAAAAAAATTCCGGAAATTTTTTTTTAATTTTGTGTTGAATAGATGAAAAGAAATGGAAAGAGTGTGTAAACAACACAACGTTCATTATTTGATGATTACAGCAAACTGATACACATATATTTCTTTGCTAGACAAAAAAGAAGAAAACATTTTGGTCAATGGGCGGAAAATAGAAAGTAGAAAAAAACAATTTCCAAAATTGTTGATTAATGAGAGCAGTTCATGTTTGTATCAGAATTCCCGGCCAGTTTTTAAATTGAAATTACGCGGTATTTAAAGTATTATTCATTAATAAACACGTTAGTTTCAGAATTTTCAAAATTATAATTGGTATTTTTAATAGTAATTAATGTAAAATATAAATACGCTTGCTGTTCAGCCCCTTAGATAGATGGTGCGCATCTTCGATAGCACTTCTGAAGACAGTTTTTCTTCCCTTTTTTTTTGATTTTTTTAAAAATTACGATTGCTATCACGATTTTTTGATCCTTAATGCAGTGCATTGAATATTTGTAAAATAATGTGAAACATTCAAATGTCCTAGGCTCATTCGAGTATTCTAAGATTATTTTCGATCTACTTTTATTGTTTAGGATCAGAGTTAATCTTCTAAAAAAATTGCACCAATGTTTTTTTTTTATTCTCTCGTTTGGAATGTAAAAAATAGAAATAAGTTCGCTTCAAATTCCAATATCGATGATTCACTCAGTTACCGAATCTAAAGAATTCTAAGAAATTTTGATTTTTCTCCAAGCTTTTTAATAATTAATGGGACGCCACTTCTTGAATAAAACGCACCATACTCGTCACTTGACTGATAAAATTAATATAAAGTAATTATAAAGTAATTATGATAGAGTAATTATCAGGTAAATAAGGAAAAGAAACATTTCAGGTGTTGAGAAAATAATACTGCCATCAGCGTCAACTGTAAATCTACAAAACGATGGCAGAAAAAGCACTTGTAGCACTTGGAATAGCGACTAGTGCACTTATCATGGGTATATCAGTGATAGCTGTGATTTTCCTCTTCAGTGATATCAATGATCTGTACAGTGGAGTGATCGTTGAAATGAATGATTTTAAGGTGTCTTGCAGTTTGTAATTTCATCTAAAATATGGACATTGTTTACCTCCTCACATTCCTAATTACTTTTTCATGCATAAATGTTAATGCAAAGATACATAAGTCAACAACTAATGACTTATCTAATTCGGTTTAGTCCATAATGTCAACTCGCTTCATCCGGTTGACTGATTTATCACAATTAGTTCAAGATTTATCATACACAATATAACAGGAAATAGCCGACGATACATGGAGTAAAATCTTATCTGTTCGGTCGAATGAGTTCCAGAATGAAAATGGAAATTATCACGGTTTTGAGAATCTCATTTTGCGAGCCAAACGACAGTATCCATCACATTGCCGTTAGTTTATCTTAAAAAAAAAATCAACAAAAAACAGATATAATAATTCTTACTTTTTATGTAATGGAGAAATAAATGTATCGGAATTCCGAGTAAAAATTGTTAAATATCTCTTTGAATTTCAGGATGTAGCGCATCAGCTGATCGATGCCAAAAAGGTCCTCCTGGCCCTCAGGGTGATCCAGGAATGAAAGGCCTTGATGGAGCAAGTGGTGATGATGGACGTCCAGGTGTAAATGGTGTTGCACTTTTAGCTACCTTTCATATTCCTGGTGGTTGTATTGATTGTCCAAGAGGACCACCAGGACTGTCTGGTCCGCCTGGTCTTCCGGGTAGTACTGGTATACCAGGTGATTGCGGGAGAAGAGGACGAGATGGTAAACCTGGAACACCTGGAAAAGTCGGACCACGGGGCGAACCAGGTGATCAAGGGCAGAACGGTACTCCTGGTAAACCTGGTCGACCTGGAAAAAGTGGCAAACGAGGTACTGGACCACCTGGATCGAAAGGTCGCAGAGGACCACAAGGTCCAATTGGTGAACCTGGAGTAAATGGTGCAAAGGGAGATGATGGAGCACCTGGTGAACAAGGACAGCAGGGCAAAGCTGGCAAAGATGGAAAGAATGGCAAAAATGGCAAAGACGGAATGGTACATCATTTTAACAAAAAAATTATAATTCATTTTATAAATGCTGCAAAATAATGGAGAATAGCCAACTGTAATTGACAAGCCATTTCAGGCAGGCAGTCCAGGTTTGCCAGGGCCAGATGCTCATTACTGTCCATGCCCACGACATGGAGGTTACGTACATCGCAAAACATAGCAGAATGAAAATATTCGCGCTCTCACTCTTATCATTATTTGATGCTGCCATTACTTTGATATGACGAAAAAGATGATGTTGATGGTCACCACCGATGTTGATGATGATAACTTCTCTGATGTTTTAATAATGCTTTTGGTTTAGAGAAACTGTCACACTATGTAGAAATAAATTCTCTTGCATTCGTTATCGAAACATTTCTCAATTAATTTCTTCTCAGGTGATTTAAGACAATTATGATTTATTTTACAAATCATCATGCCTATTTCAAAAAATGAAATTAACTGCATGGAGAATTTAAAAGATATTGGAAAGATATCAATTCTTGTTTTCGAAAAAAGTTAATGAAAACGCAAAACATCACATTTTTCATGTAACTTATATATCAGGAATTCTGGTTTACAAAAAAGAGAAACTTGATAACCGATTTTCATTTTTAGAAAGCAGAAGGATGATAATATCAGGAATAATAATTGCTTTTTCTATTCAACATTGTTCTATTATTGAGATGGAAAGAAATGGTACTCTTTGAGATGCTGCCAGTTAAAGGGCTTAGCATTACAATGTCCCCTGTGACAATCATTGGAATCAAAAATAAAATGAAAGAAGTTATGGATGAGAAATTTAAGAAGGGAATTTAAATGAACTAATCAATGCAATGGCTCAATGATAATTTAAATATGCTATGAACCTGTAGCTGCAGGATTTCTTAGTCAGAAAGAATTTGCATGCAGTCTAGATGTGTATATGCAGGTTGAGTGCAATCTGGATGTGTGTATGTAGGATGGATACATAAAAGACTGCGAAAGCCAATATATGTCATTTCGATTTGAGTAATTTGAAGATTATGGTACTGTGTGTATTTCATTTGCTTATAGTGATATTATCGCGATCCATTCATCACATATTAATTTCAATATAAAAATTAGTGAAATGGGCGCATTTCTTTTCCTTTCTTCAGATTATTTTCCTGCAACCTTTAATTTCTCAGTAAATGCATTCATTCCATTTTACCTCAGTGCTGTTACTTTTTTCTCTTTTTTCTTGAAAAACTATTTAAAAAAGTAAAAATGACAAATTGTGAAATTGGAGAAGATCGTTGCTTTGATAACGATAAAGATCACAAGAAATTTCTCTCCGTGTTGGTGACAATGTGAGCATTGGACATCATCCCTTCCTTCATTGTTTTATCCTTTAATTAAACTCTCATGTAATTAACTTCTTCAAGACCAATTAGCAATTGCTTTTTTTCTTTTTCATTCCCTTCTCATACTTAATCTTATTGTGCATGACATATAGCAAAATGAATCAAAATTGATTGTAAATTGCAAGAATGAAATTCGAAGGCAACTTTTCAATTGGATTATATTGAATTTATACTGAAAATTTGAATTTTAAAATGAAAATTATCAAATAGAATAAGTAAGTGTGAATTTGGACAGGAGAGAGCATAAGGAACATAAGTGTAGTAGTTTAGAGAAGAGAAAGCATACTTTGATTCTTTCTTTTGTATTTACTCTTTCGAAATTGATATTCCTTGCACAATTTAATTCTTCCAAAATTTAGATAGTTAAAATGAAAGACTGTTTACTTTGATCAAATATTTTTTCTTTTTTTTTCAAATAATAAATTTGCTTTTGTTGTTTTACATCACAGTGTCATTTCAAGATTAATTATTCCAAACTATAATCGGAATCACACAACAGTAAGCTTTCCTCTACGCATTTTGAGTATTGGATGACGTGATACACAGATAACCTCGTTGATCTTTATTATGGTTATATGAAGCCATCCCTGAAATCTCTTAGCAAATTTGCATCTTTGCTGCTGTGAGTATAAGTCTAGAATTCAACAATTTTCAAACGCCAAATATTGATGCAAATTACAGTTTTGCATGCTCAAGACCTAAGTTTTATTGGTCTGCAATCAGTTTTCCAGAAATTTAAATAAAATTTTTTAAAACATAGTCAAAAAATGTAAATTATTAAGTCATTTTGCTTATTGATGTCAATACTATCAAAGCTGGACAACTAGTAGCTTTACCGCGAGTAATAAAAATTTTTTATCCATATTGGAAAATGATTTGATTGAATTATATGATATTCCTAAAAACTTTAAACAAATCGATGATAAAAAAATATATTTAATTTTCTTTTCTCTTTTAATTAGAACAATTAGTCAAAACCAAAATAACAATTCCAACTTTCAATTTTCGTTTAACCGTATCGTTTTTTCAAAAAAAAAAATGTGATAAAAAACTTTGAGAAATGATGCCCTCTCTAATATTGCTACCAAACGACTACAGTGCTACTATGCACGCATCACTTATTTCCTTCCTTTCATAAAAGTATCAAATGGTTGGTTCAACTTTTATTTCCACACATTTTCTCTGAGGTTTCATTCATAGCTTTATTTCATAAATTCAGAAGGAAAAAAGTCATCACAAATGAATAATAATTTGATGAACTCTCATTGATGATATCAGCTCATATCAATCCCCTCCGTGCACAATATCCGTTCTTGTTTATTCAACATCGTGGGAAGGATTTTGGAATTTGAAAAGTGTAACAATTAATATTAATAAGGCTGTGAACAATTTCAACCATTTCAATTTTTTCTCATAAACATAAAATTTTTTAGTGTCATTTTAGGTCGTGAAAATTACAGTTTATTCATGACTGAATAAGAAATTAGCTTAAAACAAACGTATATGAGCGTCATGTTATCTAATGTTGCGTATTTCAAGTTAAAAATATTTTTGTGAATATCACAATCCCGAAATTACTCGATTACTTTCTTATCATCTAACTTCAAACAAGAACTGGTAATGAGAGAGAAATAACTGGTGAGCATATTAGCAGTACATAACGATTGCATCAATTATTTCATTGAATCAATTAAGTGAATTTATGAAAAATTGTGATAGAAATATCTTTTTGTTTCTTATAAAATTGCTTATGTAAATATTTTATGAGATTAATTGCAACAGTGATTATATGAGGATTAAAATGTGTAGTGTTATGTTTGAGCAGATGAATGAATTACCTTGAGAACTAGCTAGTAAAATTTTTGAAAAGACAAAATTTATTTTAATGGTTACTTACGTGAACAGAAAAAGAGCCTCAAAATTATTCTAGAGCAAAAAAGAAATAACGTTTTTAAATCACCTATTCCGGTCTAACTATTCATACATTTTCCGCTCTATTGTATACTTCATAAATTATTGAATTTTGCTAAAAACACAAAGCCAAAATAGAATAATAGAAATGTTATTTGAAAAAAAGGTAATGAAATAATTGATTATAAAATGATGTATATCGAGAAATGATAACGTAGACCGATTGTATAAAAAATCAATCAAGAAATGATAAAAGTCTAAAATATGGAAATGATTTAGTTGTAAATTTCGAAATAAATGTAAGTGGAGAAATGAGTTTAAGGCTAAAAATTATAGAAAGACTGTTTAGCTGATTAAAGGAGTAAAGGAAAAAAACAGTTACGGTAGAAATATGAATATGAATAATAGCCCTACGCGTGAGCGATTCGAAAGTAAAATGTAACGATAATTTTGAAATGATAATTTTTTTAAAATTTTTTTCCATAAAAGAAGCTGGCGATAAAACACTGAGCACTTGTATTCAATTGTTTTTAAACAAATATATCATTTGCGCTCCACTTAAAAATGCCGAGAAACGTTCAACGGTGTTTTCCATCAAATTTCTATTTATCTTTCAGTAATCTCTTTTTTACTCGAAAAGACAGGCTCTGCATGTCAGTGATAATAACGATAGGCGTCGCAGAACAATTTGAGCTTCTGAAATTTGTTCCACCTCATTTTCCTTCCGTTAAAATTTGTTTATTTGAAAGATGCATCCGAAATAATGTTTGATTCAAACCGTAAGATTTCTAAATCTGGCATTTTATTATTGGAAATGAACAGATATATTTGAATATTTCATTTGTAAAAAAATTGTTACTTTAAATTTCCACTACTGTATTCATTTTAACCCATTACTAATTTTTAGCAGTTATTTAGCTTCTTTTTATTCTAGAAATTACTTTTGTCATCCTTTTCGGATTTCGCACATTCTCCTTCTCTTTAGCTATTGAACGAAACAAAAAAAGTTGTAATATCGCTTCATACAGATGTGACATATGCGCCACATTGCTAGTCATTGAATGATATCATTTAATTCATTCATTGGTTAGGTGATTGTTGATTTGGATTAAATCGTCTTGACCTGATTTTGATATTGTCAGCTTGCTTGATGCTTGCGAGAATGTGTTCCGCTGAGGCCCAACACATAGTTCGCTATTACCATTCCCGCATATCGATGGCACATTCAGGTCAGCTTTTACAGGAAAAACTATGGCTTCTGGTGTGTAGCACTTCGATGTCATCACTCTGTAATATCTTTTTCTTTCGTTCCGGGTTAAATGTTATGGAAAGTTGAGGAAAAGTTTTTTTCCATAAGAATTTCAGGAGGATGAGTATCCGTATGGCTGTCGCTTTGGCAATTGGGCTCAGTGTCTGTGTGATAACAGTATCATTGGTAATAGTTGGTGTAATTTTCAATGATATCAGCAATTTACATAATGATGTCATGGATGAAATGAAAGAATTTAAGGTAATTATGATATTCAAGCGATCTTTTAGAAAAAGTTCAAAATGATGGGAATTAGCATCAAAGTGACCTATTCCTTTTCTTTTAAAGAACTGAGGATTGATGCAATGAATTTCCAAATAATTTGAGAAATATAAAATAGGAAATTAAAGAATATTTCTGTTGCATACTTTTCTGTTATAGAATATTTTGGAATTTCAATGTTTTAGTGCAAAAAAGATTGAAACTTTTTCTTCATCTGTAAGATGAATATTTCAGAAAGCAAATTTGTGAAAGCGCAGTAATTAATAATTCCCATAACATTTAGGTTAGATGAGAGAAAGAGATTCTTCTGCACATTGAAAGAATTTTAGGCGGTAGTGGACGATACATGGACAAAAATTGTGCAACTTCATTCCCAATCATCCGGAAAAACTTTTTTCCTTCGTAGTTCTAGCAGTACTTTTCTGAAAAGGATGAAACGAGAATTTAAAAGATGCTGTATGCTTTCATCGATTTACTATGTTTGGATGCTTTTTTACATTTCAAATTATTCGGATTGAAGCTTGTCTATTCCAGTAAATTAACCATTGTCAACGTTTTTAGACTGTGATAAGCTAAAGAATTGTCCACGAGGTCCACCAGGTCCAAGAGGAGATAAGGGAGAAAAGGGTTTAGATGGCGAGCCCGGAAATGATGGTCCTAAGGGAGTAGCAGGCATAGCACTTCTCGTCACGTATGACATTCCGGGTGGCTGTATCATTTGTCCTACTGGACCCCCTGGACCACCAGGACCCGATGGATCTAGGGGAGAACAGGGACCAATCGGGCAAAGAGGATCGGTGGGGAATCCGGGAAAGCCTGGATTGAAAGGACCATGTGGATTACCTGGTAAGATCGGAGAACCAGGAGCTAATGGACCTCCTGGCAAACCTGGACCGAACGGATGCAATGGAAAAAAGAGTATCAGCACAGCTGGTCCAAAAGGAGAAACTGGTGCTCCTGGTTTATCTGGACAGATGGGAGCGAAAGGCAAAGATGGAACTGATGGTATATCTGGAGAACCAGGCAAAGCTGGTCGGCCTGGAAATGATGGTAAACCTGGCAAAAAAGGACGTCCGGGACAGGTAAACAAATTTGACTATATAATAAGCTAAACTTTTCTAGCTTAAATTGTCAGTCTAGAAGTTATCACGAACGATAATAGTAGTACTTCCTAGAAAAAAGCAATAAACATGACAGGAGTTAAAAGAGAACTAAATTATTTATTTCAGGCAGGTTCACCAGGTATACCAGGACCAGATACACATTACTGCCCTTGTCCAGAACTTTCACAGAGAGAAAATCGGAAGTAACCATTCTTCATCATTCACCCACTCACTCACCTGTCCCATTTATCGACGATGTTACACTTAAACGAATTCCATGTAAAATTATCTCTTTGTCATTCTGAAATGTTATTATTCACTTTCATAAAAATTTCCCAACGATATCATAAATTCTCGTCATTCTCAACAGTAACAGTAACCTTAAATTTAGTGTATTAGGCAGAAAGATGATAATGTTGCACTTACTCTCTCATATATATCATTTCTTTTTTTCAAAGTTTTTAAATAGGATAGCAAATTAATAAGCTGATGAAATTAAACCTATCAGATTACCTGTCAAACATCTATTTCAAATGATTGAAGCAATCTCTCAAAGAAGCGATTGTATTTCTTAGTTATTTAGAATGCGAAAATCTAACAAATACAATGAACAGTGATGGATTAGCTTTAATTACCTCTCAATCATTAATATACTACTAAGCATAATTTACTAGGCAACCTGCAATAGTAAATGCTGAAAGTCCAAATAATGGAATGGTTTAATGAAGAAATACTTTACTTACTACTTATCAGCATTGAAATATGACAAAATCTCTTGCACACAATTACTTTATCTCCTAAATTAATAGAATGGAAAAAATGAACATTGCAAAATCATAAGCAGCTGTAGAATAAGACTGTAAGTTTGTCACAGAGGCTAACACTCAATCTACTGTAATGTATAGGGAAATTAATTTTTTACTTCTATGTTTCAATTATATTCGTAAATTTGATTGGTGTGATAACACAGATACTCTCGGTAATTATGCATGCGCTCGATAAAATTAGCTTTTTTTTCGGAATATTGTGGATTCATCTACAATACTGTTCCTTACCTGATGTCAAGAGATCAAATGTGAGAAGACGTCTTTTATGTCCCAAATTTATGACTGTTAGCAATAGATTGTGGTGTTGCATACACATACTTTGCATTTACAGTACTATTTTTTTCACTTAATTTTAGTGAAGAAAATCAACTCAAATTCCATCCAAATTCATTGTTGGTAAACAAATGTGAATCAATCTGGCACTGTCACTATTGATACAATTCATGATGTTATGAATGAAAACCCGTTTCTTAAAGAACGAAATTTCATTTTTCCAAACAGAAAAAGCAAACAAATGACACGAGTTCATGAGTACAACCAGAGAGTTGAAAAAAAAGTGAGCAAAACATGATGGTGAAGTAAAACCAAATATAGTAGAAATGAAATAAAAAATGCATTTAAATTTTAGAAAAACGGAGGAAGAAAGGATGAGGGGAAAGAGAAAATGAATCATTTATGAAGAAACTTGAAATTTACTTTTTCAAAAACTAGAGAATGAGAAGAAACTTTATAATATCTAATAATATAAGCGGCAACTATGTAATAAAATACATTCGTCACCCATGCAGCTGATAGAAAATTCCCCCCAACATTTTGAGCCTACTTTTATAACTCACAAAACTTTATATCGATCTATAAGCAGATTTCAGATTTCTAACAACGTAAGGCATAACATATTTAAGTAAACATAACCCTTCAAAATAAATTTGAAAAAGAAAGAAAAGCATAATATGAGAGTAGCAAAATGGAAATAAATCAGTTCTTATTAACATTTCTATTTCTTAAATTTGATTCAAAAATAAAAATAAATTTAAATAAAATCCCTTATTCGTCGCATACTTTTGGGTTTAGGTCAAAAACTTGCGCATGCTTAAAAATTCAAAACCGGAAAATTCTTGAAATCAAGACCACTAATAAGACTGATATACAAAGTGAAGGACTTTCTAGATAGAAAATCAAAAACTGTTACTCGACAGGCCAAAAATTTGGTTGTAGACGTACTTTAATTTGGAGCCGTTGTTATGACCTTGAATCCTGAAAGAAAACATTTGAGAGATAAGTTCAGCTATTTCTATTGCAAAGATATCAGTATACTCCAAATAAATGTGATAGATATCTACAAGACTACTTTTAGCAAATTGAAAAAATTTTATCGATATGAATTATTTAGTGAAGAAATCATTGATATGTAGTTAATTTTACAAAAGAATGGCAGAAACACAGTAAATTTGGTCGAAATATGGATAAGATTACTATCTTCATGATGTACTTTATAAAAACAGCGAGCTGTCTTCTCTGTCGGTCCACACATTTCATGATTAAGTAAAAAGAACAATTCGTCGAATATTGCCAAAGCATGATCAAAAAAGATTACCGAAGCTTTGAGAAAGCCATGAAGGCAAGATGAATGCTGGCCACAACATCAATAAGATGAATTAAATGGCACTGTTTGTTTCTCAACTGCTGTCAATTCGTGTCACTATTAAATGATAGAACTATATCGGTAGTATGCTTCATAAAACGAAATACAATCAATAAAAGTGGGAAAATGAATAGATTTTCAAAGAAAAATCAAAAGGAAATTGAGCTACAGCAGAAACTATTTTAGTATAAATTTCTTTAAAACAACTGCTGTAAAAAAAATATATGGAAGAAATTTTCTGGTCAAGGTGGAAATGTTAATTATCACGAAAGATGAGGGACATGCTGATAGCCTTTGGAACCCACATTTTTGAAATGAAACAAAAAATAAACGAAATGACATTAAGATAAAAACAGGAGAAAGCAAGGAGTAAAAAAGTGCATAAATAAGGAGTATGAAGACAAAAATGTAGCACAGTACTCACGATGTGATTTCTGATGAGATTACCGATTTAATATTTTATAAAGCTGCTCTATACACTGACGGCCGATTTAATAAAGTTGCTCTATATACTGACGGCTGAACGCTGGCAAGTTTGATTAGCTTCCTCTTTTAGTGCCGTTGCTAAATTCTGTACTGTTGGCCAATAACCAAGAGCTGAATTCAACAGATCGGCTGAAGGTAACGAACCACCTTTTGATAGCACCTATAAAATTAATGACGACATTCTATTAATTAAACTCATGCAAACAGCATGTCACTTTTTGCAATTTGTTTGACATTAAAATTATACTTTCATAAACCTAACTATTCGTTGAAAATGAATAAATTGTCCAAACACCAATCATAAGATCCTAAGCTTTAAAATGAGGTTTAATATTTCAACCCCAAATTAAATATTCATTATTAAAACACAGTTCTTGATGATTTGCTCAAAATGTCTGACGAATGTGAAAATTTGTGAGATGAATGAAAGAATTAACCTTTGCCCAAGCAAGGCCGCTCTCCTTGGAAAACGGACAATCACGAAACCTGGTGTTCCAAATTAGCGAAGCCGTAGCTCTTGCTACCAAATAAGAATAGTACTTTGCACCGTAAGGTACTAAATGTGCAAATCTGAAAATAATGAAAGATTAAAGTTTTTTTCGTTTCCATTCTGGTCTCAAACATTTCATTTCAAGGGGAAAATTTAAGAAATGATTTACCGATGATGCCATGCGGAATTTGTCTCTTTTTTGACATTTGGAAAAACTACCGACCAAATTGACGTATATAAATCGGCTGTTGAAACTCGACCATTCATTATACCCTCAGCATTGCCACCATGGGCTTCAAGATCAAAAAGACTGTATACAGCCTGAAAAAGCGAACATGGAGAAACATACTGCAGACCAAGAAAGCAAAACTTTGAAGTGGAAGAAACCTGCTGTAACATTTCCAAGGATGTGAAAGCGAATCGTGATGTTATGAGAGAAGCAGCATCCTCAACACTTATTGACCGTCCGTGATTATCTTTTGCTATTTCGCGCAAGACATCAATGTTATTGAAAAAATATTCCATCAGATTAGATGGGACTTCAGCCATGTCAGTTGAACAACGAGTTCCTGCAAGATTTCAAAACGAACATTAAGAGAATTTAACATAAAGCAACTTCCGAACATTTCATTAAAATGCTCTATTATAAAAGACGAGAACGAAATTACCAGCAACATGTTGGTACTGAGTGCGAGCAAGCATTGAATGCATCGCGTGACCCATTTCGTGAAAAAAATTTTCGGCTTGATGGGGGCTCAGATAAATATTCTCAATGCTTTCCAATCCTTTCGTTAATGACAGTGATAAAACAACTATTGGTGTTTGGTACGAACCATCATCTAACTGAATCATATTTCGATTGAAATAACAATCAAACTTCATCAGATATAAAATTTTTCAGAACGTGCCTGCATGCCAAACACAATTATGCAGTGACTTTCCCAAACAGGTCTATGACCCTATAAACTCTAGGTTCCTTTTCATCGTGATCAACAGAAAATAAATATTCGACAGCATATTTGTAACCTTTCACGAGTTTTGGAAAACTTCTTTCTGCATAATACATTAATGTAAGGGAAAACTTTGACATCTATGCATTTAATTAATCAGAAAAGAAAACCTGCTTGGAGCAACGAACAGTGAAATGACAGTCGCCCGTTGTTTTCGTCTGTCGTTCTTGAATATCAATATAAATTGTTCCCAAAAACTGGCTGCTGTCTTGAAAAACATCCTATAACAGTAACAAAAAATACAGTCTAAAATTCCTGTTACTTCATGTGTTAAGCAAAAAGGAAAGTGGTAACACTTTACAAGGAGTCTAATAGAACTTTTACTCGAACAAGCAACCTATATCCCACTCATATTGTGATATCAAGGACAAAATCTCTAAATTAAAAAATTTATACTAAACTCAAAAAATACAAGTGCAAGCAATGATGAGAAAACGAACAATCTTAATAACATTCCCTGGCCAAACTTCACCAATAACAGGTGTTAGAACCGAAAAGGAGACATTATACAGCCGCTTTGTAATTAATTCGAATCCTCTTAAAAGACTGTTAAACGAGAAATATCTGAAATTAAAACATCAGTAACTGAAAAATATTATAATGTGAAAAGTTAGTAGATCTCAGTTCTGTATAACTTCAGCAGATTATTTATATAAGTCTGTTATGTCAATTATATGTTTTGTAAATCAGTTGAATAATTTAAAATAATTCTTTTTATCTATCTATTTTATTTCACTATGATCAAAACAAGTAAAATGACAAAATGTTTTCTAAATAGCAGATTCACTATTACCTGGAAAGATGTTGTAACTGGCCAAAAGCATTCTCACGATATAGCATACAAAGATATGTTAAATCAGATTCGCACAAATGTTCGCGTTTCGATTCAACCTGAGCTAAAACATCAGCCAGTACCGCTAACTCCTGTTCAGCTGATGGTTGACATGACTGCAGCACGAACATTTTAACATTGCATAGTTAAACAAATAAATAAATGCAGCAAGTCCTTCGAAACAAGATAAAACTTGAAATGAAAGGAATCCCTCAACCCATTTGATTCAACAATTTCTTTTTACCGATTATCAATTTTCAATAGCATAATGAAATGGACTTGCCCTAATGACTTCAATCAAAAAGTCATGAGCGTTTTCATATGAACCGAGCAACGATGTTTGCTGAACACGGTGAGCGTAGGATTGGTAACCAGTAAGTCGAGCCAGCAAATGTCGACAAGTAATCAGACGGCGTAAGCGCTTCTCCTACAAAATTCCCAGTTATTTTGTCCTTATTTACCGAATGAAAACTAAGCAAAAACGCTTGGCCTGCAACTCGAATGAATAAATGAAATCTAACTTCGACATCTTTATGAGGTCATAATTAAGGACCGATTAATAGGGAATTTAATCGATAGGTAAGTGGAACAGAAAGATTCAAGATATTATATTTTGATTTCAATAAGTAGATTAGAATGGTGCAACGCATGCAGTTATGGTACCGTCAGGAGACGTGCTACCTTGAAAGATTAACATTAACTTCAAAGGTAACGAGAAAATTACCGTACTTGATCTTCATTGTATGAATAATAGGTGGCATAAGACCACTGTCTGGTAGTACGGCTAACTGCAAGTGTATTCGGACTATACAGATGTCGTTTTACTCTATACATCTTACTATAAAATGGAGCAACTGTAACAGGTAGTTCGGCACCATGCGTAAATTGTGAACCAACCATGAAGATCTCTTTGCTAAGCCTCACGTATTCACATTTCTAAATCAGAATTTACTAACTCATTATAATGTATACATCATGCGCTGTTTTTCATTAAATAAACAAAGCTGTTTGAAAGTGGTACTTTAGTGTACATTTTCTTACTGCTAGGTCAAGTTCCATGACATTTAAGAGACTTTTACTGTATTCACAATGACAAAATTAGAAACTCAGAGAGAGCACTATACCTATATCAAAGAACATAACTTTCGCAAAAAAGCTTGCCTTATAAGTTCAGAGAGATATAAAAACTATAGTTAAAGTCATCTACTGCAATACATATTTCAAAAAAATTTATGCATTTGGATCCTTATCTGAGTTTCAGCTAGATTGACACCAGCCTGCTCAAAATCATCGAGGAATAACAAAGCTGTACGTTTGTCAACATCTGTTAAAGAACTGCTTTCTGCTTCTATAGAGTCTTTCAGTGCTTTGTACAAATCAGATCTGGTATTTAAACTGAAAACAATCAAATTTGAATCATAGTAATTCAAAGTAAAAGAACTGGGAAGAAAATGAAAAAAGGAAATAAAATCTTTTGCAGTAATTTAAGTAACACCTTTCTACAAGTTCCGTGAAATCCTTCATACTTTCTTGCGCTGCTGCGCTAAATTCTTCAACCGAATGCATATTTCGAACGCACTCGGCCTGAAAGAAATTTGTATCCATAAAATTAACATATTTCTTTTATCATTATTTTCATTTTTCTTCTGTCAATGTTGTTAGAAAATAAAGATTCTCAGCTTTTTCACTGTCTTATAGTTTCGTATTAATAGCTTGAAAGATCCACGTATATGTAAATCTTGTGGGCATCTGTAATATAATAAGAATTTTTACATATGACTAAAATGTATCTCAATAAAATGCATGGATGAATGAATGCACAGCAGGTAAAATTATATATATCCAAGAAATATCTCAAGATTTTTATTGCAAATCCCATTTATAAATTATAGTTTTAATACAAAAGATTAAAGCTGGGGCTGAACATCGACACTTACCAAATCCGCAGCGCTACATATTTCATTTGATAAATCATCAAAAACTTCAACAACTTTCTTCTCACACTTTCGATTGACAATCTATAAGAATATTTTGCAATTAATAAAATTTTATTTTTCACTATTATAAGTTTTCCAGTTTTCGCTATTATAATATTATTTCAAACATTTGTACTCGACACGGTTAACAACATCAACTATCAAATTAATCGATTAATCTGATAATTAAGCTTTAACCTGCTAGTATCAGTAAATAACGCAGAAATGATAAATTTAATTCTAATTCAAAATGTTTCAAACAAATTAGAGAAAAGGAAATGCGTTTTTGATATTGTAAAATAACGAGAACAAATAATTCAATAATACCGACAACTCCTAAATTTAAAAACAAATCAGACACAAAAATTTTACCTTATCAACCAATTCGAAAGAGCGTTTCCTGACCTTTTCATTGAGTAATTTGAATCCAGATGGATGCTTTAGCAATTCCTCACCAAAGAGTCCCTTAAGTGAAATAACTTAAGTACTCTTAGAAAAGTCTTAAATAATTTTTTTCAGACAATATGGTATCTGTCTTTCGCTTTTTTCCCTTTACTGTCCTCATGTCAATCATAAATATTAACGTATAAATAAATAACTCATTGATTTACATCGCTAAAAGAATATAACCAAACCATAATATAAAACTAAAGTTTCATAAATTAAAGACCTTTTCGGCAATGCAAGTACCCATTTGTAGATATCGTAACGAGTTTCGTACGTTAGAAGAGCATGATCTTAAAACAGTTGTCCATGACATTATTGGTTTGTCCCCTGCAAATAAAAATTATATAGGACTTGGAATTAAGATTCCAATCCGATCCAGGTACAAACATTCACCTGGTAGTACAAGAAATACAGATATTCCTGAACATGTTGAGAATTTAACGAATATGTGATAGTATTATTACATACTAATATCAGAAAAAAAGAGAAATTATAGAAGTGCTTCCGCTGAAGTATTCCCAAAAATCAAAACCCATCGTAACTGGCAGAGCTTGACAATAAGAAATAAACAGCAGAGTTTGATAGTCATAATCACGAAATCTCACAGATTCCATTTCATATGCAACTTAACTAATAAGCCAACAATTTATTAGCGATGAAGCAATTATAAACGGAACTTCACAATAAAAAATGTTAAATAATAACAATATACAATTATTAACAACGAAGTACATATAGCTGACGGGTAACCGAAGTAATTCAATTTTTTAAGTTTCACATCACTGATGAATTCGTACGATAAAATGTTGCTAAACCAAAAAAATTATTGAAAAAATTTTCTGCAAATGCATATGCAAGAAAAAAGAGAACCAATAGAAGCACCAAAATTTAGATTTTTAATGCGTTTAGTTTAATAAAAACAAGATTTGAATCAAAATTTTGGCATTATATCTGTTAGTCGGATGATCCCAAAAAGCTAAAAAAGATTAAATCCATATAGAATATAAGAAAAAACCATTATTTTAACAATAAAAAGACTTCGTACACACATTAATTACTGATAGTTTCTCTATAAAAACCCTACTGTTTGGCAAATAAATTCAGCTTCCTTACAGACAGCTCTGAATTATCTTTCAAAGCTAAAACCTGGAAGCGGCAAGAACATCCTGTAGTAATTTAACCCTTAAGCACATGAAATTTTAATGCTGCATTATCACTGCAAGTACGAAAATTCCAAAGTTATGAAAGACTATCACATTTCTAACAGAAAATGATTTTGCTTTAGGGTCTCAAGATATCAAATCACACAGCTGGGAAAGGACGCGTTCGTCTGCTAGAGGCAAGCAACCAAGTTTGTCTTTCCATTGACATTATATTCATCTTCGTTACTAACTGAAATGGTACAAATATATTCAGACTGGTTGTAAATAATTAAAAATTGTACTTGAATTCAGATGACGTATATTTTCATTTTTTTATATAATTCGTCCTTCTATTCTTACATGCATGCATTAGTTTTTCCTTAGATAAAGCTGAAAATATTTTAAAATAAAGAAATAACTCACATCATTAAGCGTTCCACAAGTTTTTGTAAGGACTGCCACAAGCGAAGTCATTTTGACTTCCAAGCCTTGCTGAAATGATGAAAATATTTACTCAAACAAGAATTCAAATTAATTCACCAAAACTTTTTGTTTAAAACGAAATGTTTCTACAACAGTTACTAAACTTTACCAATTAGAAAAACTTACATTCTTATATTGCTGTAAGAATTTGTCCGAACCCAAAACTGGTACTCGACGTACTAACTGAGCAATTTCTCGTATAACAACTTCATCACGTGGTAATTCACCTTTACGAACTGCCTGAAGTAGTGCTTGTATAAGTCTTTACAAGAATTACTTTTTTAACAATAGGTCTCCTATCTATATGCTTTAGTTGTAGCTGTGGATCAAGCTCCAATTTTCCCTTTAAAATGTAACTATAAAATGTGAATTAAACTTAGAACAGCAGATCTATATCAGATGATATCAGCACAGCTTTGGTATAAAAAAATTTTTTGAAAAAGGCTGCTGAACATAAGACATTATTCCTTCATTTTCTATGTCTTTTTCGAAATGAATATTCCTATATTTTAATTATAATACTCTAACTTACTAATAAATAATCGTAAATAAGTTCCAGCCGTGACTGTAACATATTTATTGCACCCATCTGTCCTGCAATCTGTTTATTTGTGGAAGATATTGTGCTTGCTGAAACAGTTGAAATCTGGGCTACATGTTCAATTCCAATACGTTCGGCTTGTTCACTGGCTAACGACCAGTTAACTGAATGCCACATTACTGAACTTGGACTGCTTGTTGATAAGCCACTAGTAGACACAGACTCATAGATTGCCACTGGTAACTGTAAATAGGCAAATGTTCGCTACAGCGCATTAAGAGATTCTAAATGCCACAATCTATACTATTTTCAAAACCACTTATGAATTTAAAATAGGGTAACAATTTTAATATATCAAACTGTTGGTCATCCTGTCCTTTTTTACGAGGCCGCTAAAATTCATACCTTATTGCCTGGTGGTGCTTTTGGATCAAGCTTCACAAAAATTGGTGATTCATGCAAGACGGCAAACTGCTGATGCACTTCCCAATCTGCATGTGTTGGCGTTGTACTTCCAATAGTATACCAACCAACATAATCCAAATCATGAAATACTTCTTGATCTGCAAAATAAACACACAAAAATGTGTCAGAAAAACAAGTTCCGATTATTGAAAAATTTTAAGCTGAAATACTTCATAGACGAATTCTATAAAAAGAAATGAAAAACACAATATAAACAATAAATTTAATTCCTCTTGTCCAAATCCGCATAAACGTCAAGCGGGAGAGATTAAAAATAATAACTGGATATGACAAAGAATCGTGATGATAAAAATTCATATATATCACTTAAAGAAAAATAGCCTACATTGCTGTTGCCTTGTAGAAAGAAAGCTTGCGTCAATAACTGCATAGCCCTTTCCTTCATCACTCCATTTTACCTCGAAGCTATTCATCATTTCAATATGCCTTCCAGACTGCTTCCCAAGTATTGCACCAAAAACCTGCATCAAAAATAATCTTCAACATAACATCATAAGTAGGGAAAATCTTGAAATAATGTCTGCAACAGTATACCAACGAACATAATCCAAATCATTAAATACTTCTTGATCTGCAAAATAAACACAAAAAAATGTGTCTAAAAAACAAGTTCCGATTATTGAAAAATTTTAAGCTGAAATACTTCATAGATAAACAAACTATTAAAATATAGAAAATGGTTTAAAATTTGACCTCGAAAGGTTTTCCATCGTTCTGCTGTGCACTTGTTCGAGTCACATGTTCCGATATGTTCATTATAACCAATGGATGTAAAGAAACAGTAATGGCACTAGTCAGTTCATTGTGTCCAACTGATTTGTTATCATCCTCTGACATCGGTGGGTCCATCATCAGCAAGTAATTAAGAACTTGAAATACATAATTATACCAAAAATTTTATTGATAATAAATTACAATTGACGGAAGAAACACTTACATCAGTTCAATTTAGCATTTCGATCAAGCTGTGTTAAGATAAAACAACTGGATCACACTGCCCTCAATTTTGCAGAAATGTGCTAAATCCTCTTATTTGTCATTATGAGATTTCCCTCATAAAAAGAGACAGAATGTTAGGATGCACGGTGAAACCGACTTTTGAACTCACCAAGCGATACTCTACAATGCAATCCTAACAACCTAAACAAGTGATTTATGAAGTTAAGGCAAAAAAATTAATGCGGCCTCGATCAGCTACATAGCTATCTCAAGATTCAGGAAAATTTGAAACAATAGGATTTATATTAACGTAATGCAACATTCAAAATATATTTGAAATTTTAAAATTCTTCTAAGCACCTTAACAAATTGTATTTAACTCCTTTGAAAAACATACACAAAATATTATCTCAATTTCTACAAAATTCTTTTGATGAGATTTAAAATTAATATCGGACAGGAAGAAAATTCCTCAAAGTGAAATAGTCTGCTGGAATCTTTCTCTTCAACTTATGATATTTGTTTATAGTAGTAATAGTTGGCTTAATTTTGCATAATTCAATTTATCAAACCATTCTTTTCAGTTATGCATATTGATCTCTGCTCACTTTTAGTTATCATCCACTTTTCTTAACTTTATTGTCTCTTTGGATTAAAATTTCCACTTTTGATTATCTCTTTTAATGTATCCGAAAGGAGCTTTTAAAAATTTGAATGTCTGTTCTAAATCTTTTAAATCGTTTTTTCGCTGAAAATTTGCTTTTCATAAAAGCTACAAATTAGTCCATATTCCTATGATCAGTATAATTTTATTAAGTAACATATTCCATATTTCACACTAAATTTTACATTATTTTATGTATCGAAAAAAATAGAAATATTCCTTCACTTCTCTTTTAAAATGTTTCTTAAATTGGCCAAACATTTCAAATTTAACGATCAAAAATTACTTCATTAATTCCCTTTCCAAATTTAACCTATCAAATATTCTTTTAGATGGCGTAATAAATGAACTGTCATTTATGACTTTTTTTTTCTCATCGAATTAATACATTTTATGATAATGAATTGAATGCATGAAAGATGCATTCGTCCTTTTATCTTTCATTTTTTTTTTCGTAAATTTCTAACATTCATTTGTTAAATTTGGTGAATGGAAGCACTCCCATTTGTGTGTTTACGATTTGATGTTGATGATTGGTGCTTTTCTTTCCTTTCAATTTATTCGTTCTCAACGAACTGATTCATCTGTTCATACCATCCAATGTTTATTCCTCAAAAATCGAGAATGGATGATGAATCTTTCGGTTTTGTATTTCATCTTTGAATTATGATCGATGGTTGAGATTTGCGATCTCTTAATCGAATATTGTGCATTCTTCGTACACAGGAAAGATAAAGTAAAAACAAAAAATTGCCGTTTATGGTAGCAATAGTTGCAATCTTCTCGTGGTCAAAAATATCATCCATCATTAGTCATTCTCTCCACACAGAACATTACATTTTTGTGCGACCATTAAAAGTTTTGCAGTATTTGTGGTGAAATTTTTTTTTCTTTCAAAAAGTCTGTGATTTTTATCTTGAAATAATTTCAATTTTTTAAGCATTACCTATTTTGTGAATTTTTGATTTTTTGAAGAGAAAAAAAGAATTGGATGAGATGTGAAATATGATCTGTTAGGTTCATAGGGCTAAAATGATTTTTGTGAATATTTGGATGAAGCATAGAATAGGCTAATAAATTGAGCTTACAAGAAAAAAAGAATGAGATGAATAGATAGTACAGTACGATTTCAAATAATTCTTAAGGAAATTCATCAAAAATATAGTCAGAGCTAGGGCAATATTGACCAGTAATATATATTTAAAGTATTTATTGGAAGTTAAGAGTTTTTAAAACTTTTTTTTTTGGAGTTTTCAAATCATCAACAGATGATAACGCGAGAAGGGATTCTAAATTAAAAAAATTATTCTCATTCTTGAGATATTAATTACCACTTCTTGTTTATGACTTTCTCATTTGTTCTTTTGTTGAAACACAAACAGACAAACAGACTGACACGCGCACACACATGCACACAAACACATACACACACATATGCACACACACACACACAACGTACACGCACACATACACAGATGCATACAAACATGCAATCAATGCAGGCAATAATCGTTTTTCCTTTTCTTTTTTTGTATTTATTTTTAGGACTGTTATCGATAGCACAAGTCATTTGGATGATGGCAGCCGAGATAGAAGCTTACTTCAAACTCTTAATTTGAGCTTGGGATTTAATTAACAAGATGAAATTACTGGAAAAGTGATCAACATAATGGGGAATTCATCTAGACCGAAATACTATCATTAAACCAATTTAGTTTTTATTTTTGAGTTCTTTTTGCATTTTTAATCTGATATTAAAGGAAGGAAAGATATAAGAACAACTATTTACAGCTTCAGTCAGAATTTATCATTATATTATCAATGGAAAATATTTTTCTCTTATCATTTTCAACGATTAGTATAGCTTAGGGATAAATTGAAGTCATTTTTGGGAAATTCTAGAAAATCTGAAAATGTTGGCTTCTTGTATAAAATGATAACAGCTGTTTGGTTAGAAGAAATAAATTTGGAGGAAGTAAATTGCTAATTGCTCATCGTTATTAGCTCTCTGTGTTCCTCAATCCAATTAAGGTTTATTTTTCATTTTTGCTTCACTTTTCGTACTTTGAAAGATTCATTCGAATGGAAGTTTCATAGAAAAACATCATTTTTGAAATTTTAGAATTAGAATTGGTAGTAAAGTAAAATTTATTTCTTTTATTTTTGTTTTCTTATGCTTTCTCTTCGACAAATAATGCATGAGCCTTTCATTTTAGCAGCTAATAATTTGATGGTAGTTTTTTATTGCGATTTTTTCAATTCCCGGAAAATGTAAGAATTTATTTCTAGACGAAATTTAAATACTAACTTTATGAATATTTTACTAACTTATTATCGCTTACTTTTCATAAATTAAACCGAACTGAATAATACTAATTTAAATGATGAAAAACGGAGTGATATTTCATTTTAAATCTTAACACACTGTAATTCATCACTGGAATTTTTACTTGACATTTGGCCTTATCTATCAGAAATGTTGAAACTATAGTAAATGAAGTTTTCAAATTTTAGATGAATTCATTTTCACTTATGCGGGAAATGTGGGAAAAATAGTGTGAATAGTTATCAGTAGCCGAAGTTAAATATTTCATAATAGTTGAAATTGCAAAATTTAAATAAAAATATTTCAGCATTATACAACTTTTTAGCTAAAAAAATCGATATGTGGCTTGTTAAATAAGTAGTGGACGAAGTAGTAATATTGTCGATGTGTCTCGAAGTCGATTTTGACAACACTTCACTTATTCCACCCACCTTCAAGCAGCTTACTTTATGAACAAATTTCAAATCAAATTCTCTCATTTCACTGAAAAATCCGCTAGGTTCTCGACAACTCTGATCATTCTCCAGCACTATATTCTCTCTTCCAAAAGCACTTTATCTCCAACAAAATTCGTACTTTTCTTTTCTAAATTTATCTCTTAAATCAATCTTCAGTACGAAAAAAAAATCAACATTTTAGCATAATTTCATTCCATAATGAGCAAGAAATTGATCCCACAAAAAAAATCGTTCATTCATTGAAACTATGCAAGCATTCATTTAATTCTGGCTAAATTGTTAGTTGATCAATACAATGTAATGCTAAGATTTTTAAGGTCTTAGAGAACTACGATAAACTGATAATATTAAGGCCTTGTTCACATTCCATCTTTAAAATTTAAACTAATTTTTTTTACGCAGAAAAAGATAAGTGAAGCGAAAGATAAGAATAATAATCAGCAATATCAGTAAGGTAAGAATAACAGAACACGATCTAATTAGTCTCAAGTATAAGTATAATATATTATCATTTAAAACAAATAATTTTTAACTGATGATTTTCGACTATTAGCTGATATCAGCTACACTGAATTTAAACTTTTTTTACTTTTAGTTTTATTTCAAAGTTGTTCAGTTTGCTCGTTATATGCTTTTGTGGTTAACGAACCTATTTGAATTTAACTAATGAAAAAAGATATTAATTCATCCCTAACATTTACGTTTTTTTTTTCTTTCTTACTTTTCGAAGAGATTAATTTGTTCACGCTACTGTTTAGAAATTATTTTTAAAAGATTAAATATTCATAAATTAACTTTGCTAACCATTTTCGATTTCTTTTCAAATTAAAGCATCAACTGTAAGGTTTCCATTCATTTACCAAAATTATATTTTATTAGAAAGTTTTAACATTCGTTTTTGAATAAAATCAGATCTGTGATATGATAACAACATGTCGCACATAGAGTCGTTGGTTTATTGGGAATGATAAAATGAATGCTTTGAAAATTGACATTTGAATTTCAGTAAGAAATCAGAAGTAGTTTGCAAATCAATTTATGGCTCTCTAACAAGGCTACAAACAAATAGCATTTTTTTCAAATTTTCAAGTAGGCATTTTTTTAAAAATCTTTGCCGTCATGAGCATAGATTATTCAGATAGTTGCATACATTCGATACTTCAATCAAATTATTTTTGATAGTTTCTTAAATACTTCCGATAACAGATTCCGAAAACATTTTTATGTTCGAAGATTGAATTGAATGGAACGACACTGTACACAATCAGGACGCTCGATGTAAAAAAAAAAACATTTTTGAAATTTTAAAATTAGAAACACGCAATCCTTTTAGGGGTGTTAATCATTAATTATCAAATTACTTGTTTTTATCAATTATTGTCAATATACAAATTTATATAAATTATTTGTTTCCACAAAACTACGATGTTTATCGGATGCTTTATTTTGCCGAATGGAAGAAATTCTCGGAAAACTTTTTTTTATTTTGCTTATTTCCTATCATTTTCATCTTTTTAAATTGCCCTCAGAGCATCAGAAATCAACAATTTCTGATTTATAGAACCTGTATTCTATGAATTGGAGAACTGCGAATTTTTATTCATTATTTCTCGAAAAATAAAAAAAAGAAACTATCGATACTCTTCAGCATTTTGTTATTACTGACATGATTATAAAGTGATAAGACATAAATGATACAAAAAGCTTCTGTCTACCAAAATCATATCAAATTATTCAATGCGTTATCTCACAGCTGATAAATACAGGGGTATTGTTGCATCGCATTTGATAATTTTTCTGACAGACTTTTCTTCATGCACTCTTGCAGTCAGCTATGTAAGTATAAATACAACTTATTTTCTCTGCAGATATATCTCTTTTAAAGTGAATATTGACAGCATTTTTAATAGTGTTGGTGGAATGATCGAATTCCATTAAAATGAATGATTGATTCAATAAATGAGACGACAGTTACAGAAAGAGCTTTTACGAAAACATTCCAGAAAGGAATGTAACGCATACTTGTTAAGCATATTACTTATATTTCATATTCTTTTCCTTTTTTGAAGCAATTATTTTTCCCGTTGTTATATATTGACTATTTTTGGCGAAGCATTAATTATCTTTCTCTTAATGACCATATTTGTAAAAATTATTCTCTTCGAGAGTTAAATAGTTGCTAAGGCGTTTCAAGTATTCGCATTGAAAAGTTCACTCCAACAGTAAAAATTTATTCGCAGAATTATTCGCAGAATTGCATTGCTTTTTCACTTTTTTTTTATTAATTATATCAATTATGCTTTGAGAAGCAATATATGAATATTTTATAAAAAAGATTTGAAATTTAAATTACAATTACTTTGTTGTTTTCGATGTAAGTATAAAGAGAAAAAATGAACAAATAAAAATGCATAATGTGAATATCCAAAGAAAGTAATGGAAAAAGTATTGATACTGAATGATGAAATTAATTACTGTTTGATCAAATTCCTCTTTTTTCGAGTTATACCGAAATGAAGGAAGTGTGTTAGAATATCTGACGGGGAAATAAAGGCAGATAGAGGTGAGGAGAATTGACTAAAGGTTTTTCAAAGAGTCACACTTACACGCACACATACACACACAACACACACACGTTAAACTTTTCGATGGAAACATTTTCTGTTCATTAAAAAATTTTTTTGCGCAGTTACTTGTGTTTTCTCGTTCCTTCTTTCTTGAAATTATAATTTTAATTGATGTAAATTAATTTTTTTTTAAAAAATAAATTATTTTATTCCATTAATGTAAATTATATTCGATTACATTAATTGAATAAAATAATTTCCTGTAGCAAAATTACTTTTGAAATTATTTGATTTTGGTTCATCACACATTTCATTTTACGTTAATGAATTATTTCTTCCGAGAAATCTCTCCAATAACTTTTATTTCCTGACATTCAGTTATTATCGGCTGAATTGCATCGTAATGAATGATTAGATTCATTGAGCGGATAGCTTTACAACTACAAATTAATTGATTATGTTAATTATTTTGTTTTTTTTTTAAATTTTTTGTATATTCGAAATTTTTAAATGAACTTGAAATGCTTATATTTTTATCGTTTTTATCGTTAATTCTATCATTTTATCGACGAATATCATAGAGATTGGGTGAATGGAATAAGCAAATGGACTAACTTTTTTTGTTTCACTAATATTATCGAGCACTTTCGATACTTATTTTATTATACTTTTTCGAGCATCTCTGATAAGGTTAATTTCCCCAAATTTTCAACTAAGCCTGAAACAGTTAGCCAAATAGGTGCATTATGAAATTCTCTGATAATCCTACTTTTGTCTGAGCTTGTATTATTATTTAATTTTCTTGTATTTATTCCAAAATTTTTCAAAATTTTTAATCTGATATCAATCAGTTGGACAAAGAACTAATTGTGTGAAATTCTTAGACCACTGTTTTTTTTTTCTTCCTAGATTTCATCTTCTTATATTTCATTCAAAAATCTGTTAGATCAAATTGAATAACTTAAATAGATCAAAAAAATATTTGAATTATTCTCATTGACTGCCTTGTTATCGCTGTTATTGATGTAAAAGGATGTCATTGATGTCATTTTTTTCGAAAATATTTTATTCTATTCCTTTTTCGTTGTCATATGATATTTGAAATATTTTAATCAAATGAAGACAACGGCAATAGTTGCTAACTTACATTTTCTTGAAAAAAAAAATGAAACAAAAATTATTCGTTTTTGTTATTTAGGTATTTCGGCAATGTCTTTTAGTGTACGTTTACCTTTAGCTAAGGCTATTTTCGATCAATTCATTGGCCTAAAGCCACATCCATCTTTTTGTCAGGTATATTTTCTCGAAAATTTCATTTCATTCTAAACTCTTTTACTATTTATTCCAATATTACCTGTGTTTTAGGCAACATATATATGGATCGATGGGACAGGGGAAACTATGCGCTCAAAAACTCGAACAATTGCAAATATACCGAAAAGTATTAACGGTTAGGCTTTGCAAATATTTATTGTAAAAAATAAAAATTACAAATTTTTAAGATTTGATGAATTTGAACGAATTTTCAGCAATATTATCCACAGAAACAAACTTTAACACTTTATGATCCTGGATTTTTTAAAGATTTTCCAATGTGGAATTTCGATGGTTCCTCGACTGGACAAGCTCATTCGGGTCAAGATTCCGATACATATCTTAAGCCTGTTGCGCATTATCCTGATCCATTTCTTGGCGGCAATAACAAACTTGTATTATGCGAAACTTATGATCATGAAATGAAACCTACCGGTTCGTTTAGCTTGATTGGCTCAGTTTCTAGCTTAATTTAATGCTAATAAACAATTTGAATTACTGATGTGAAGCTTTTCATTAATTATTCTCATTATCGAAAAGCTTTCGTTTACACTACAATATATTTCATTATTTAATGATGTTGCATAGCTTAATGATATGCAAAATTTAGTAACAGTAGGTGTTATTTTTATTGAAAGGTATTTAAGCTTATTAAAATAAGAAATCATTACGAAGCACTGCTTTTAAATATGTCATTAGTTATATTTTAAGCAGAATAATAGAAAAGCTCTAAATTTAGGTAAGCACTTGAAAAGTCTTAATTAATGCAATCGAAATAAACAAGTCTTGATTATTTTTTGGATAACTTTCGGTTAAATAATTCGTATTTTTAGATAATTTTCTTAAAATTACAGCCACTAACCATCGTAGTTTCTGCAACGAAATTATGGAAAAATGCAAAAGTGAGAAAATATGGTTTGGTATGGAACAGGAATACTTACTTTTGGATAGGTATACAAATTACTAAATTACTACTTTCTATAATTTCCATTATTTATTTCTTTCATTTTTTTGCATTCAGTGGGAATTGGCAAATAAATTAAGCAAAATTTAAATGAATAGTGCAATTAAAATCTTACAGAGATGGTCATCCATTAGGATGGCCAAAACATGGCTTTCCGGAACCACAAGGCAAATACTACTGCGGGGTTGGAGCAGATAAAACATATGGTCGAGAATTGGTGGACACGCATTATCGAGCTTGTCTATACACTGGCTTACAACTTTTCGGCACTAATGCAGGTGCAGAAAATTTATTTCATAATCGATGACGAAACCAAACTTTTCGGATACATTTAAGAATTTCGGGATATTTAAGATTTATTGTTATCACTCGAGCAATGTGAACAATGGCAAGATAGCGTATTAATTAAAAATTTGTTGAAAACAATTTATTGTTGGATAAAAAAAAGAAAAATTTTGTAAACTTTTCAAGAACCTACAAATTTATTTAATCCGCTTAATTACATGTAAAAGATAGGTGAAAATAGGCTAAATATTCTTGCCCACACTTGCATTGTGTTTGAAGAAGTGATGAAAAGTTAACAAATATATTTTAGCTTTGAAATGCATTCTAATTTGAACTTATTATAATGAATGTAACTGTAATGAATATAACCTTAACTTTTTGTGACACCATTAAGCTTCATTCCTAGTAATGCAAATTTCGAAATTTTGAATGCACATATTTAATTTAGTTCATTTGATATGCTACAGAAGTAACACCTGGACAGTGGGAATTTCAATTAGGAACATGTGAGGGCATTTCTATGGGCGATCAACTCTGGCTGGCACGATATTTACTCTATCGGGTTGCTGAAATGTATGGCGTTCTGGTTACACTCGACCCGAAACCAGCAATAACACGTTTGGAATTCTTTGTTACTTCTTCATCATCGAAATTTTTCCCATTTATTTATTGTTTACTAATTTGAAATATGCTTTTTAGGTGGTGATTGGAATGGCGCTGGTTGCCACTGTAATTTTTCGACAGAAAAAATGCGCTCGGAAGGTGGCATTAAATACGTTGAAGAAGCAATCAAGAAACTTGAAAAGAAACACAAAGTATTTTAAGAATTTGCTAATATTTCGTTTAAAAAAAAATGAATCAATAATTTTTGTAAAGAAAATACCATTTGCATATTAAATTTTAGGAACACATAGCAGTGTACGATCCGCATGGTGGCATGGATAATGCACGTCGTTTGACGGGTAAACACGAAACATCGAGAATTGATCAATTTTCATGGGGTATCGCTAATAGGGCAGCTTCAGTTCGTATACCTAGAGCTGTTGCCAGAGAAAAAAAGGTTCAATTTTTGAAAATATTCGAATATGCAGTATTCTTTTCAAAAAGTTAAATTTTTTTCTAAATATATTTTTTGAATGATAAAAATTTTTAAAGAAAAATCGAATCGATTTTTTGTCTTCATAATTATTTCTTTCCTCTCTTTTTTGCATTTTTTTTCTTTCTAGCACGAAAAAAAGAGTAATTTAAATAGTATTTTAGTTATTGAACCTAATTTTTCTTGACCACAATGTATGTCATAATTATATACTCACTTTGACCTCCCCATTTAATGAAGATTTTATTATGATTTTTTTTTGCAGGGTTTCCTGGAAGATAGACGTCCATCATCGAATTGTGATCCATACGCTGTTACTGGAATATTGACAAAAACAATTCTGCTTGATTGAATTTTAATCAATTGATGTCACTGATATAAATTTGCTGCTATTTTGTAATTACATAACACATTATTTCCAAATTTAATTTTTTTAAAGTGAAATTTCAAAAAAAAAGGACTCAAACCTTACAATGATCTCAACTGCTTGTTTATGAGAAATTAGAATGCTTTTTGACTTTGTCCAACTTTGCTTAGCAAAACAGTAGCGCATGGGAACATTATTGCTTATTTTCAGACTGGAAACAATCATAAAAGTGACATTTCATTCTACAACACAATGCAATCATTAATCACCGTTTTATTTTTCTGCAAACAAACATTGAAATTATAGCAAACTTTATTTTTTTTTGAAAATTTACTTAAATTGAATCTTTCTCTGTATTTTATATATAAAATCTTTCAGAAAATTAAAGCAATCAATTCCATTGATTTCAAAAGAGAATTTAAGCAGCATTGATTTTTCTTCTAGAACTGTTTTTTTGATTTTTATTTGAAGTATTATCATTCACTTCTCATTTCTCCATTTTCTTTCGTATTTCCGGTTAATAGTCCGGAAGTACTCACATATGGAAATATGCAGTTTGCAAAAAAATGTATATTAAACTTCTATTGGTTAAATTCTAATTCAAATTACTGTCGACAAATGCGCTATATGTAATAAGTATGCAGAAAGCAGGAAAATGGTTCAATAAAATGAATGAAAAAAATATTTCACCCTTATTTTTACATACGTGAAGAGTTTAATGTCGCGGTGGGTTTTTTTATTACTACTTTTTTGAATGCAAATGAATGGGAAAACTGAGAGATGGAGAGAAAGAGAGAGAAGGGAAAGGAATTTTTATTTTCTACCTTAATATTACTCTATCAGTTGCGTTGGGGTGGAACTGTTAATTAGTAATTCAAATATGATCTAATTTGCATAATGTGAAACATTGTTTAATGAATGGAATAAAATGTATTATAATAATAGATCGAACTCTATCATTTCTTGGATAATAACAGCATTGAGGTTGGCAATGGACATGGACAATAGTAGGAGTCTGAACCAGGTAGTCCAGCTAATCCCATCTAAAATTGTAATTGATAATGAATTCATTATAAGATAATGGATTTTTGTTTCGATAATGGATTTTGTTTGCAATCGAGAAATGAGAAAATCTTTGCCGATAGAGATACGTAGAATTTATAGCATCGTTTTCTTGAGTCTTATAAAATTCTCACCATTCCCATGCGTCCATTTCTGCCTTTCTTTCCAGGGACACCAAATTGTCCAGGTATACCTGGTTTACCTGGAGGACCCTGAGCACCATCATTACCATTCTTACCTGGAGAACCAGGTAAACCACGTTGTCCATTTAGGCCTTTTTGGCCTATTACACTTCTTCTACTTATTCTATCCAGTCCCGGTCGGCCGGGTTCCCCCGATCTTCCAGAAATACCTGCTCGCCCAGGCTGTCCCGCATCTCCTTTTCTACCTCTTGCACCTCTTTTTCCTGGAACTCCAGTACTGCCAATCCGTCCCATTAGCCCACGATCACCAGGAGAACCAGGAGGTCCGCGTGGTCCCGGTGGACCAGGTGGACAGGAAGTGCAATTGCCAGGTTTTCCGTCGATGATCATGGCAATAATACCTGGTATACCATGACGACCATCTTCTCCCGGTTCTCCATCTAAACCTTTCCATCCATCATTCCCTCGGAGTCCAGGTGGTCCTTGTGGACAATCTATAGGGGAAAGACCACATTCTGAAATTTCAAGAAATTCAAAAGCGAAAAAAAAAAAGGATCAATCATGATAGCTACCATCATCAGTCACAATTTCATTTTTCTGCAATCAATATTCGAAACTTACTGCAACGCTCCGAATCAATCTGTCGTTTATTACGGGCAAATAAATCAGTATAGGTTAGCGCATTTCCGGATGGATAGGTGTGTAGCAAGTGAATGGTGTCCCATGTCTCGTTTGCTATTATCTGAATGTCAAATGTCAAGGTTGAATTTTAGATGGATTACACTGCGAATTAAGAAAAATCTTCTTGATGTCTAACTTGTTTCAAAATAAGAAGAACCCATTAGTATAGTGGATTAAAAATCAATTCTCGTGCTCATTTTGTATTTTGAAGGAAGTCAATCAATCAACAAAGACTCTTTATATACCTTTGCACTAACTTTTAACGTTAGATAAATTTGTCATTTCATGAAAATGACCGAACAAAGCTTAATTCTGCATACAGTTTTATATCAACAAAGATTTAAATTTAACTTATACGATTGGATAACTTTGAAATGGATACGATTGGATACTTGAACTCTTTTATCTTCTTATCAGTACCACTTCCAACGCTAATGTTATTATTATCTTCAAGTCCTATTATTCAATTTATTATTTTGTATCAAAAAAAGAGAAATGAAAACCTTGAAATCATGAAGTTCTTCCATAACATCATCATACAGTGCGCTAATATCATTGAACAAAGATATAATAACAAATAATATCACGACAATTGCGCATGCACTACTCGCTATAGCTACGGTAATAAAAATCTTGGCACCCATTATGAAGTTAGCTGGAAAGGTTAAAGTAAGGAAAAAATTCAACTGCTCATGCCCTTCATTTTTTTATACGAAGAATGAAACTCTGCATGGGGAAAATTGTTCACGTGTTACGTGAATGAGAGAAAAAGGAAATGAATTTAAGGATTAAAAGACCAGTCTAAATTTGGCAAAACACTGAAATAAAAATAGACAGCTATTTGTCGCACGGTTTCAGTATTTAAATTCTTCCATGCCATAGGCGTAAAATTGCTAAATTTTTAAAGTTGAAAAAATGTTGAAATTCCCCAAAAGGCATCCATCCATTTTGCTCTGTTCTTCTTAAAACTTTACTAAATTTCAGCTTGTTGAAGCATTTTTATAGTGGAAAATTATTCGCCCTTGAATCAGTGATGCTTTCTTTCCTTTTCATTTCTATTGACCTTCAATTTTCGCCATTTTTCCGGTCGCGAGAACAAGGAATAATCTTGAAAGTTGTAACTTCCTCGGAGAAAGGGAATCTTTCATTTGAAGGTCATTATATAAGGTTGATTATTGAAATGATAAGTAAATTATGTTTAAATTGGCAGAGAAACATGGATCATTGATAGGAGAAAATCTTGACTAAAGTTTCATATGTGTGGGAAATAATCAGTTTACTATCGTTTATCATTTTGCGCAATTTTATTAAATGATTCTCTGAAAACATAATGAAATCGTCCTTGTTATTTCCACACATTCACTGATTTTTTTAGGCATTAAGAAAAAAATGAAATGAAAAGATATATTTCGAATTTTGATAAATTATAATATTTTTTTTCCTATGAATAAATTTTGCCCAATGCAGCGATATTCAAGCCATTTTAACAGAAGCTAACTTTCAAGGTCATTTCAAATATATTGACTGAGTGGATAGGAAAATTTTCGATATTGCAAACAGAAAGCTACTTCTTCCTTTAGTACTAAAACATTGAATTAAGAACTCAGTAATGCCAATTTCAAATATTCATTTCTTACTCTCAAAAACATTGCAGTTTCTGAATTGTGTCATTAGGCTACTGTTGCTAAAGCTAATCAATAGGATTTACAAAAAAATATTTTGTCAAATTTTTATTTTCAACCTTTGTGATAGATCACAACTTTCAAAGGGAAAGTTAACAAGTTTTCATTTCAGAAGTATTTGTTACATTTTACTTTATATAAAAACGGCGAAGTAATAAATATGAAGTAGTCATTTTTCGTCAATCAGCTGAAGAAAATGAAATTTAGGGAAATAAAAATAAAAACAGGTTTGAGAAATTTTGGCAAAATTATTGGGAAAATTAGCCAAGTGTCATTACTACTACTATTGTATTTAATTTCATTGACTCAATTTCAAATTTCTTCAGTATTTTTAGATTTTATGAGAATTTTGATTAAGCTATTCGTTTTATTCCACTAGTTTATTGATTTTAATTACTTAAATTCTACTAGCTTATTGATTTTAATCAATAATTTGCCCGATCACAGTTCAACCTATAAAGAGTTTGGAAAAGCGATTAATTATTTTCAGCTGATTTTCATAGTCATTGTTGTTACAATCATGAAAATTTTCCCTACTTTGGAAATGTATTACAGTGTATTTGGACATGAGAAAATATATCATAATTTTTGTCCTTATGATAAAATCTTTGGCAAATGACAGATAACTCCAATCCATTCCCGCATACTTAGCACAATTCTCATGGCAGATCAAGCATTTTTCCTCCTGAAAATGAGTATATTCGAAAATAACAACCGTGTTAAGTATCAGAAATAATAAAAAGCAACTAAATGATCTTATATTCAGAGGAAGTGCACTTTTTTTTCGTTCTTTTTAACTAAATGTAATTTATGATGAACAAGTTTAAATGTTAAAAGCTATAAATTTTATTTTCAAAAATTTTCTATACTTGAAGCTATAATTATTAAATGCAAAGAACGGAAGGAAATTGGTACGTCAAGAAAGGAAGGGTCGAGTTTTTCTTAAAAAATTGAATTCAAATACTTGAAAATATTTCAAATTTGGACACTCTCTTGGCTCCTGATGTTCCTTTCAAGAAAGTTATAAAGTTGCAATATTGACAAGGAAATTTGGAAAAACGAATTTACTTTATTCTGTTTTTCTTTTCCTTAGAAAAATTAAGCCTAGTATCAGATGGTGTTGATGACTCAAAATTCAAGACAGTGCCATCAAGAAGGAAGAAAGATGAAAAGAAAGCGGACTCGGATTGATGGAAATTCGTAAAATCTTTTGCTCCCGAAAACACTAAAATAATGTTTTATTTAAAAAAAAAATGTTTTGTAGGTGTCATTCATGTGCTCATCAGGAAAAATTTTCAGTCCTAACTGT